TACTGGCACGGTTTGGAATGAAAAGGCTTTTTGACACGTTGCCCGTGACCTTTGCATTTGTGGCAAATATTTATCGGCAGGCCTTCAAAATCAATGCTAAGGTAACCCAAGAACGTCGGGAAAGCCAAGGCTTAGGGCAAGCCAGGGCTTAGGGCAAGGCGTGCTTTAAAGACTAGCTAGCTATGCAAAGGCGTAGGGCAAGCCAAGGCTTAGGGCAAAGCGCGCTTTGAAGACTAGCTAGCTATGCAAAGGCTTAGGGCAAGCCAAGGCTTAGGGCAAGCCAAAGCTTAGGGCAAGGCCTACCAGGGCTCAGGGCACGCCAGAGCTCAGGGCAAAGCTACTAAACAAGGCCGGCTCGAGGCAAAGCTGCTAGAAAAGGATTTGCAACAGGAAGCCAGAGCTTAGGGCAAGCCAAAGCTTAGGGCAAGGCCTACTTATAATGACTTTAAAGCAAGGACTTGACCAGGGCGCCAACCTGTAGGGCATGTAAAGGCTTAGGGCAAGTAAAGGCTTAGGGCAAGGCCTACTATAAATGACTTTAAAGCAAGGACTTGACCAGGGCGCCAAGCTGTGTTGGCGAACCCTAAACCCTAAACCCTAAAACCCTTAGGGTTTAGGGTTTAGGGTTGATCCGCGGCTTCCGAGGAAGGGCTGCCTTGCAGCGCCGTGCTGACGCTGCTTTGGCGGACGCCCCTTCCCATGCTGCCTCCGCGGCGGCTGTGGTCCTGCAGTCTTGAAGCCCTACTACCGAGATGCACGGCTTGACCCGTCCTTGTTGTGTAGCCTTGTATAGTTGGCGCTTGGCGGTGTCCTCGGGCACTCTCATTTGCTGCCCTTGCTGTGCCGCCGCCGCCTCCTTTTTTTCTCTTTCCTGTGCAGTGCTTGTTGGTGAGATGGCAACCCTATCATGCTTCCCCCGGTAGTTTGTTCTTTACTTCCCCTGGCACCACGTGTTTTTGCTCGTGCCTGTTCTCGTTCTTGCTCCTCGCTTGGCGGGTGTTTTTTGGCCTAGCCCCCTATCCCTGTTTCGGCATCTCCCGAAGGTGAGCGGCCGAACAGCGATCCCCACTGGAGGGATCATGTGGAAGGGCTTGTATAGGGCTTTTTTGAAGGGGATGTCCTACGATGTCCCTTTTCCCTTGACGTCACAAGTTTGATCAACTGGAGGCCATTCCTATTAGGTCGGAGGCCATTGCTATTGGGTCGGAGGCCAATTCCTATTAGGTCGGAGGCCATTGCTATTGGGTTGGATCGGAGGCCATTCCTATTAGGTCGGAGGCCATTCTTGTTACTATTGTTACTACTAGCTTCTTGTTACTACTAGTAAGGCACCTGTTACTACTAGCGTGGCACCTGTTACTAGTAGCTTCTTTTTATGTATATTTTGGCTTCCTTTTGCTCCCTTCGTTTCCCATCTCGCCCCTGGGGCTCCGTGCGCTCCCAGGCAGGTGGGGCGTTTCAAAGCTACTGCAACTGTTCAAGCTGTGGCCAGGTTGAGAGATCAGCCTCAGGCGTCAGGTGGGTCGCATTCACTGCTTCTGGTGGCTTCGGTGCGAAACAAACTGGCAAACTATAGAGAATCCTTGCTCCTAGTAGCGTCCTTGTTCCTAGTAGCGATGCCAGGAGCCCCTAGTAGCGTCCTTGCTCGAGGATAACGCGCACTTGGTGAATTGCTTTGCTAAAATTTCGGGCCGATGGCCATTGATATACGCCTCAGTGGCACGCCACAGCAATCGCCAACTTGAAAACTCGGCCAAGCTCCCGGCAATCTCATCACCAACATGGACCTCGAATGCCAGTGCCGTTTAAAGAGGGCATTCTCCTAGATGGCTTCTCGACGCGAACTTCACAAAGCGCTTGGGATCCCAAACGTCCGACACCTGAGTGACCGCAAGTCTTCAGGCAGTATTGCTGTCACGCATTTTTTGAAGTTACTGAAGAACGAACAAAGCCAATCAAACTGTGCGAAAGAATCTGTTGAAAGGCCTTCGACTACTAACTACTACGAGATCATCATGAAAAACCACACATGCCCAAAGGTCTAAATACAAAGAGGAAAGAAAAAAATTCAATAAAGAAGAAGCAAACAACTAAATATTACTGTTTGTTGTCCAATGGGGGTTGGCTACCCGTGCCTGCGCCGGTGCAAAAGCTCCGAAGCGGGCTGAAGAAAAACAGGCCTTTGGCACCTCGCTAACAACCTGAGCAGGGACAGTGAGCAAACCATTAAACACATGCACAAAGAAATGTCATTTGTCTTAATGTTTCGTCACTCTTGCATGTAGCGACAGCATGACCTTTATAGACTTCTCCCTTCTCCCTCTGGGCTTCTCTAGCCAAACGTCCGTTGTCAGTCTTGAAGGAAAGCGCAGCCCAGCCTTGCAACAACAGAACACAAAAACAAGACCAACCAGATGGACAATGAGTTCAACCCAACCTGGAGGCAAACGAACCTTTTGCAATGTTCGCCTGCACGGCGTTGACACTTGCGCACCAAATGTGACATGGCACCTCTGCGCCTTAAGAACATGAAAGAAACGACTCCAAGGGCGACAAGAATCTCCAAGGCACTGGCGGGTGAAATAGCCAAGCAAATCAAGGCAAGTTTGACCTTTGATGAGGGACTGCAGCATGACATCTAAGGATGTCCCCTCTTGGACATCAATCTGTTGAACGTTCCGTTTTGGAGTGGTGATGGGTAGTTGAAGAGGCAATTAAAGGGTAGTCTGCACGGGAAACACCTCAGGGCATTGATGGCTGTCAAATAGAATTCTTGTCAGAAAAACGGGCACGAAGAAACATCAATTGAAGAACACCTGCACTCCGATAAGTTGTTTGTAGGGCTTTGTGGGTTCTAGAGAGGCCCACAAGAACTGGGCCTCTGCCCACCATTTGGAACTGCCAGGTGAGGTCGGCGGAGCAATGAGCGCCCAAAGGGCTGCCACCTCTCGGGGGCCCAGTGCGAACGGCGTGGGCAAGTGCGGAGCCCCGTTCGTAGCTTCTTGTTCCTAGTAACGCCAGGAGCCCCTACTAGCGTCCTGTGTGGGCGCAGAACGCTCTCTGAACTGCGTTTTCATCCCAGGGAACCCACGGTGCACAGCTCGCGCTGTACGCAGTGACCCATCCATCTCAGCAAATCAATCCGGCCACCGCTGCCTGTGTTTTCTCATTCAACTATAGACTTCTGCTATTCAACATCCAAGCTTTGTGGAGCTCGGATTGGATTCAGTTCCCGATGAAAAGGAGTCTTTATACCTCAAGTGATTGGCCAACTTGTTCGTTGCCTGTGGCGATGTTGAAAGCAAACTGGATGTTGGCCACATCTTTGGGCTTTCCTGGACGAATCTGGGATAGAAACATACGCATGGCCCGCATGGCTCACTGGGGCCTTTGGAGGCAGGAACACCTTTCACCTCAGTCGCAAAAAGAAAAATAAGGAAGCTAAAAGGTTCCTTTAGTAAGGCCTTTACCTTCATCTTCCACCAAACGCCACCGAGGATCCAGAAGTTTCACTCCAGTGCTGAAGGAGCTTTCGCAGGCCTGGACGACATCAAGCTGGATTGACCAAAGACTAAACAGTAACAAGAAGCAACAAAGGACATCCCAACGAACGGAGCAAGAACGCAACTAGTAGCTCCTGGCATTGCGACTAGGAATAAATAGATACTAGTAGCAAGAAGCCAAATTGTGCGCGCTAATTGGCCGGCTTGGGACACTTCGTTGTGCTCGCCCTAATTCCCTGAGTGCAGTGCACGGGACAAGAAAAGAGTCTGACCACATGGGACCTGCAAGGGGAGATGTGTCAGGCAACAAACACATTAAAAAAAGAAACGTTGCATATTTTCTTCAGAAAAAAAAAAGTGCAAACAAATGTCGCTGAGCTCACTCCCTTTCGCACAGGTGCTGAGCTCTAGCTGCTTAAAGACCAAGCTCACACCCATGAAACCAACCCTTATCGATGGGAGATGGGAGTGGGAGATGTCCGAGATGTCGAAATCGTCCAGCAGGGCCTCGACCTGAACAGCTCCGTCTTCAGCTTGAAGACGAAGTGCCCAAAAGCGAACCGCTTTCGGCATGGCATGGGTGTCGCGAGCACTCGGCCGATTTTCGTGTCGTGGGGTTGAGGTTGCAGTGGTTAGAGTCCGTCAGCATCATCTGTCTTTTCCCTTTGAGCTGTGACGGTTCCTGGCGTGCCAAACTTTTAAAGGCTGCTCTGCCCTCCAATCTGCAAGCGATGGCCTCCCTAGGAATGGCCTCCCTAATTAGATGTTACAAGTGGCCTCCAAACGCCGAGACTCGGCAAAAGCTCTTTGTTTCTTTTTCGCGCCAATCGCACTCGTCCACCTTCACGTCCACAAGCTCGACGGTTTATGTTTCTTCGGTTTCGTCTTTCTCCAATCCGTCGCACCCGGTCTCAAACGAAAGAACTGACGAGATAAAAACCTCTTCGCCGCATTTTAAACATCTTGTGCTTCTTCGTCTAGTGCTTCTTGTCATCTGGTCACTGCATGTTCCCCGCCACTAGCTCTTGCCATCTGTTTGCTTCCACTTGGCTTTTGCAATCTTGACTCATGGCAACGAGGAAGCGCAGCAAGTCAGAAGGTATCGGGGAAAAGGTGCGCAGTGCAGATCCTGATGGATCCCGAGCGGTCAAAGCTAAGCAATGCAGTGGCAATCTGTCACACCAAAAGGCCGTTCGACCTCCATACTTTGTATCACCAATTAGGGGATGTCCCGCGTGGGCCATATGACATCGAATCTGATGCGTTCCTGAAGGCGCAACACAAGAAACGATTAAACGAAAAAAAACAAGCCAAAAAACATTCTGTGTTAGCATGTTGTTTTTGGGACTTGCAGTTTCGCTCCAGACTGGCAAGGGTCTCCCAGTCTCTGGATACACCAGCAGCACTGATGGACCTGCGTGGCAGCAAGGGAAGGTTTGTTACATCAACCTTCATGAACACAGGACAAGGGTTTCAGTTAAGCCCCGTGCCTTCCTCCCCCGCAGTCCAAATCCTTTCGTAGCGAGTGCTAGCAGCCTGCGAGTCTCTTTGTAAAAACGTCCAACATTCCGCAGCCTGCTTGCAACTACCCTCGTATCTTCCAGCCTTCCCAGTGTCTTCCACGAAGGCTCGGTACTTCGCTCCACCACCCTGCTGTACCAAGCCTAAGGGCGCTTCAATGTGACCAGTGAGAGCAGGAGATCCGTGGACCACAGCGAGGTAGCGTTTGGAGACCTGAAGGCGACGGAGGCCGAAACCTTCTTCACTCCAAGCGATCGACTTAAAACCTTTTTAGAGCACAATAGCAATAGTAGTGGCTACTTGCATTGATTTGCCCATGCCCAAACCAGTCGGAATGGCTTCTACTGTTTTGTAATTTTGTTGCTTGACACGCTGCCAAATTGTTTCTTCTTTTTGGCGATGTCTGAAAATCTCAAAAGCAGTAGCATATTCAGTGAAGCGCGTCTTGTTGACTAGCTTTGCTGTCTTTAAGCATCTGTGAGTTTTCCTGCAATTTATAGCTATGTTCGATATTGCTACCTCGATTTTTTCATTGCTAAAGCAAAGCCCCGAAGTCACACAGCTGCTACAACAACAACAACACCACCCACCCCTACTCCTACAACTACTGCTGCTACTACTACTGCTGCTGCTGCTCGAGAAGAGTCATGGGAGACAAAGCCAAACAAAGGAAGACACAGCACAATGATTTCAGCCACGCATCCGAAAAAGCCATTGGAGACAAACCGGACAAAACAAAATAGAGCAGAATCATGTCAGCCCAGCATTCAGAAGAGTCATGGGAGACGAAGGGGTAATAAAGGAAGACAAATTCCAAATGACCTCAGCTCAGCATCCAAAAAGGCCACGGGAGACAAAGGCGGGTACAGGGAAATAAACAGGATTCATTTCAGCCCAGCATCCAGAAGTGATGGGAGACAAAGGAGAACAAAGGATGACAAAGCAAACTGATCTCAGCCCAGCACCCAGAAAAGCTGGGAGAGAAAGCAGAATCATTTCAGCCGAGGATCGTTTGTATGCAAGAATTGAGAACCTCTCAGAGCGGAAGAAACGCCTGTTATTGTTTCTACCAACAACGAGACCAACAGCAAAATCTGAGAAAGTGATCGCTCGACTAGGACATGATACCCAACAAAACTGCAAGCCTGTTGACAAAGGAGTCTGAGCGTTAAGAAGCTAACTAGCAGCTGCAAATATAGTGGAACGCCTGAGATTTGCCGATTGAACGTAAAAGGTTTGAAAAGCAGCCTGCCTTTGCTTCTGAGAACTGTCGGGTGAACTCTTTGGCAGATGAGGCAGTGAGTGGCACCAACAGGCAGCCACTAGTGTCCTTGTCAAGCCTGGAGACGAGTTCGGCTGAAGGATGGATTTGCTGTATCGAACCTGAGCTCCGGGAGGGCTCCCAAAGCAACATTGAACATGATCTCAGCGAAACGCTTTTTGCCCACCCCGAAACGCAAGGCGTCTTCGGTCCGGAGCCCACTCGGCTTATCCAAAACAATCACCTCCTTGGTCTCAGTTATCACCCGTGGCTGCAGCGGTGGCAGCAGTTTGGGCATTGGATCACCCACCTCTTCCAGGCTCGCATACAGCTCCAAGCCTGTACCTTTGTCCAAGCTGAGCCAATCGAGGACTGAAACACTCTCAGCACTCAGCCCAACTGATTGAGACAGCAATCGAAGCTAGTGCAGCAATACAAGCGCAAGCGCATACTGTTTTCTACCTTCTGCATACCTCAACAACACCGCAAACGCTGAACATGATTGAACTTGTCGGCAGGCTGGACCAGCGGGGAAAACCAATCCAGCCTGTAATAATGCATGGCACCCAAAAGGAGCTGTCCATGGTTCCAACAACCGCGCCGCCCAACTTATCTTCGCAGGTTGCGAGCCCCTTCAGCTCTGCACCCAGGGACAGCAAGGTCTGCATGGGTAGAACCCGCTTCATCAAAAGCATCCTGGTGAGAAACATAATGTTGCTACGAACATGTTGCAGCTTTGCAATGACACGTCGTACCCCCACGAATGTGCACGTACATACAAATACACAAGGCCCACACCCACGGATGCGCCTCATCCTGTCCAAGCTGATGCGCAGAAGTCTCTTAGTCATTTTGGTCGCCAGAATCCATGCACCTTCCAATGCAGGACGCCAACGACTCGGAACATCAATGTTCGTCATAAAGCTCTCGTCCAACAACTTGAACAAGGGGATGCCCACTGAGACCAGCAAAGGAGAGCCTTTGCAGTTCAAGTGGCTCTGCAAAACTCTCAGCAAAGGTTCATTCACCAAATTCAGTTGGGTGAGCTTCCCCTTCACGTTGTACTCTGCCAGCAATGGCTCTGGAAGATCCTTGAGGCCGTAGAATTCTACCTTGGCTCAAGATGTGATTGAGTGAAAGCAAGGCAAATTCACACATATGTTCAAGAACCTTCAAGGCCGTACTGTGAACCAATTTGGTAGTTTCTGACCACATGTGAAAAACAAGGTGCAATGGATTGCACTTCGCAGCTCTCAAGTGAGACCAAGCGGTAGTGGTTCTGCTCATTCCGAGCCCTCCATGGGATCTGAGAGCTCTTCGTCATCACTGGGACCTCCACGGGGAAGCTGCGATGAAGCGTTTTGGTGAAAAGTGCCAAGAAGAAGCCCGAGCCATCGATCAGGTGGGGAGCCCTGCTGTCGCCGTTGCGGACACTCACTCTCAAAACCCCCTTCAGCTTTCATGTGAAGCATAATTCAAAGTGGCTCCAGCTCTATCAACTAACGTGTTTACCAGCTCTTGCCCCCTTTTCGCATGAATGCGTTCGGGGCCTAGCAGCCAATGAGCCAAGTGACAGGCGAATACAACCTTTGGCCATATCATCACGCACAGCTGCAAACATGGTCTCCATGAGCATTCCATTGGGCTTTCGCTTGGAGACCGGCACGTCTGCCCAGGTCTTGTAGTAGACACCTCTAGGCATGTTGCGCACCGCATCCTGTTGGTAAGCTAAACTGTTTGTGGACTGCAGTGTTCTTGCTACTTGGAGTACGGAGTAGCGGGGGTTCAAGTGGTCCGGAAAACTGTCAAATCGTCGAGCCTGGTTCTTCGGGGTCTGGTACCCACCAACTCTGAAGGCATGCCGATACTTCCAGGTCTTTTGGGCAATGGTCGGACATGGGCAGCAACGACACATCACCTCCGAAACGCGCAAGGGCTGCAGCTACCACAGCCTGCAATGTTTCATCCATTCAAAGGCATCAAGAATCATTCATCGTTTCGTGACGCTTGGACTTTTCAACTGAAAAGGGGGTGACTTGTCGGTTGTGGTTGTGGATGACCGCATGCATGCATGTCGAATCCAGTTGCCTCATTTTCGATGGGGTTCATGCTGCAAGTGGAATAGACCAAGCGACCACCGGCTCGCAAAAGGTGCAGTCCACGGCATAAAATCTGCAGCTGCTTCTGGTGCAGCGAAAGGGGAAATTCCTCAATAACTCTCACAAAGGACATTTTCCAGCGCAGGTTGCAAACATTTTTTCGCATCCAATCTGAATGCCATGGCCCAACCAATTAAGCAATATGTGCGGTACGTGGCACGATTTGCAAGCATGCTAAGCCCACGCCGACATCCCTTGCTACTCTGTGGTGGTGGTTGTTTCATGTCGGCCCCAGGTCAGAAAAGGTCCTCGACAAACCATGCCGAATAGCGATGTTTGACCCACCACATGTTTTGTAAAAGCAACACAACCAGGGCCGGCCATGAATTCGTCCCAAGAATCCAAGGACCAGCTCTTCCAACAGTGTGGTCGACGTCGCAAAGTACCGTCACCAGAGCACGGCACGTCACACAGGACTTTGTCGTACCTGTGGCCGCACACGGTTGCCAAACAATGCGCTTTGTCGCCCTATTAAAGGAACACGCCAAAAACATACTACGGCAAAGCCCCCACGAGATGCACTGCTGACCTGTATGCGGTTTGTAGTTGGTTGTATCGTCGTGCAAAGTTTGGATATCTTTGTGTCATATGGGCTGAACAAATGCCTTTGTCAAAAGAGCCGGCCCCTCTCTAGCTAGGAGTTGCGCGTGCGACGTGTGCCTTTTCAGAATGAAGCTTCCTTGACAAACAAACACGCTTGTCAGTGCCAGTCAACTAGACGCTTTGCGAAGCGAGATCTTGTCAGCAAAGTCGTCAGAACATTGGCATCATCCTCCGCGTGGCCACTACGTCACTTTAATTTTGTGACATCCGAGATTTTGGATGTAACCGCCGCAACACGCAAAACACACAGAATCCGCAAGCACCAAAGCGGTGACCATTGCTTACGTAATCTTTCGTACAAGTACAAGCTTGGGCCGTGGCCATGGACCCATGTAAAATTCGAGGATGCTTCGCCGACGCGACCTCGCCTCTGTTTTTGCATTTGGTGGTTGGCGTGCATCCTTCACATTCCATGGGCTTGCGCAAAGGCGAGGGCATCTGTGCACTTTGCTCGCGCACAAGACTGGGGCCTTTGATTGATGGTGTGCCCAGTGTGCGTACTGCTGATCTGGCCATGAACGCTGCGGCCGCCCTCAGTGGGGGGTGTCAAACATCTCCCCATTAAACGTCAAGTATCCACCCTTTCAATGTCCAAGACGTGTCTGACACGTCCAAGACCACATTCCCTCTGCTTGGGCTGCGCAGCCTGTCCGAGACCTCGCTGTCCGAGACATCCAATGTCCGAGACATCTGCTTGCTCGAGACCTCAACGTCCAAGACCTGCATGTCCGAGACGAAGGTGAGATATTGATATAACCACATTCCCCGTGCTCAGGCTGCGCAGCAAGAAGAGCAGCATGTCCGAGACCTCAATGATCGAGACAAGGGTGACCCGCATAAAGGGATGCAGCGTTGATGCCCAAGTGGCTCACAAAAAGGTATGCCCCGTTGGAATCTTCCTCCTCTAAACTTTGCCCCGGGCTGGCTCACAAAGGGCATGCGCTTTGGACTGGCACCTCTCGGGTGGAGTGGCACCTCTCTCCTCTTAAATTCTCGCAAGCGGTATGCACCGTTGATTACAGTTGTTGGAATGGCAGCTTCCTCTTCTACATGTTTGTCTCGGGTGGCTCACAAAAGGCATGCGCCGTTGGGAGCACCTTCCTCCACAAAAGGTATGCATCGTTGGAGACCTCAGTGTCCAAGATGGGGGTGAAACATTGCCAGAATGTGCTCAGGCTGCGCAGCAATAGTAGTGTGTCCGAGACCTCACTGTCCGAGACATGCAATGTCCGAGAGTCCGAGACCTCTATGTCCGAGACCTCAATGACTCCATGTCCCAAAACCCTCGCTGCTCGACAAAACGATTCCCCGTGCACATTGCGTGCGCCATCTCACTCTTCGACACCCCCAAGTCCGAGACGCCAATGTCCGAGACTATGTCGAAGAACCTCCATTTGTCCCAGTGTCTCAAGGGTTTTTTTGACATCACATGAAAAGAGCAAGTGTTTGTGACCCCTCGCCCCCCCTAAAGTGCGCTAACACAGGCCAGCAACGTCAACGCATGATCACAATTTGTGTCCATGGGCTAACGTTCATACCTATCATGCTTTAGAGCTTGTGATCTGACCCAGCCCGATACTCACCAAATTCCACCGCGTCCCATCGCGCGCTCTTTGTCAACTGATCCGACACCATATCGCGAATGCAGATCCACCACAGCTGATCCTCCGCATCAATCGGCATCTTGCGGCCCCCGCAAAGACTCGTTTCAAAGCCTCTAATCCCCAGTGCGTGGCACAATGTTGCCTCCTTGACAGCAGGCCCTTGTTTTCACCCTCCGCGCCAGAAGCGTCCGTGACTGAAACCAAGACCGTCCAGCCTCTCCGCGCATGTCGCGTGGAACTAGTCGGTAGATCCGACCTTCCACCCACGAAGCGACAGCATTCCACGATCAACAAAGGCGCGTTTGCCAGAGGTGTCGCCACGCGTGCCCGAAACCTTTTCATGGCGCCGACTTGTGTTTGTGACAGGTGTTACAACTTACCACAGCGCCAAAATGTTCGTAAATGTTTCCGTCAGTTCCAGTGCGGAAGTTCTTCCAAATTGATCGCTTGGCATGCGGTAATCTTGTCAAGCGACTGGCAGAATGACTTTCGATGTTTGTTTCATAGGTTTCGATTCTTCCTGGTCCTTTCTTCTCTTTGGCCTTCGGCTCATCCGGTGCAGTGTAGACCTCTTCCGGCCATGCCTCTTGCTCTTCCTTCTCGATCACGTCGGCGTCAGAAGGACGAGCGGAACCGCTGGCTGTCCCACCTATACGGAAACCTACAGCTTGCACTTCTGTTGGACGAGTAGTTCTTGAGACTGCTTACGACATGTAAGGAATTCTCCAGCTGCTGTGGGCGCAAATTCAACTTCTACGCTTTCTTCGGTTGAACGCTGAAGAGAATGGACACCTTACCTTTGCCCAAGATACCAATGGTGGTCAAAACAGAACTTCCGTTAGTCCGGAGAAATGCACGACCAGTACTCATGACCGTTTATCCGGCGTAGGGCTCTTCAAATCCATATGGGGGTTGTTCAAAAGTCCTTTCATTTTTTTCCAGGCCTTTCGCAGGACCTTCGCGAAGCTTTCGCAAACTTTCGCGCGTGGGGTTTTACCACTGTCGGCGAAAATGGTTTTTCGTTGGGGCTAGAGGCTTTCAAGGATTCATGCAGTTGCCCTGGCACGTCTTGTGTCCTCTGATCACTGACACATTGATTGCTGAGGAACAGGAAGCCAGCCAACCAAGCAGTTTTCATGTTGGTGTGTTTTTGGTTAGGCACAACCCTCCATGAACAAGAGACGGCTCAGTCAGGCCAGTTTACTCAGACTTCCAATTTGCTTTTTCCCAGGCCGGGAAAAAGCAAAATGGTTCAGACTTCGAATTTGCTTTTTCCGGGGCCTGGAAAAAGCAAAATGGTTCAGACTTCGAATTTGCTTTTTCCCAACCCGGGAAAAAGCAAAATGGTTCAGACTTCCAATTTGCTTTTTCCCGGGCCGGGAAAAAGCAAAACGGCCAGACTTCCAATTTGCTTTTTCCCCGCCCGGGAAAAAGCAAAATGGTTCAGACTTCCAATTTGTTTTTTTCAAGCCGGGAAAAAGCAAAATGGTTCAGACTTCCATTTTGCTTTTTCCCGGGCCGGGAAAAAGCAAAATGGTTCAGACTTCCAATTTGCTTTTTCCCGGCCCGGGAATGGTTCAGACTTCCACTTTGCTTTTTCCCGGCCCGGGAAAAAGCAACATGTATCAGACTTGCAGTTTGGAGTCCGGCCTGGAAACAAGCAGCGCCTGTGGGATTCGAGCCCACGACCTTCTGCTTATGAGCCTGCGCCTTATCCATTAGGCCACAGCTCTCTGAAAAACATGCTTTTCCAGGCTTTACAAAAAATTGCATGTCCAATTTGCTTTTCTGGCTCAAACTTCCAGTTTGCTTTTTCCCGGGAGTTACGACCGTGTTGTATGCGCGCTTACAGCCGTAGAACCAACCACCTCACCTCACATACCTGCACTTGTGGGCATGCTGTGAGTGCATCTGCAGCTGGAGTGTCCAGCGCGTGCTTCCAGCAAGAAGAGTGGAGTGGGGTGGGGTTTGGTCCTGTCGTCTTTCGCGTCCACAATGCGAACCTTTCGCCATACTTGCGCAGTTTCCCACGACAAAGAATTTTCCAAGGGTCGGGAAAAAGCAATTGGAAATGTATCAGACTTCCAATTTGCTTTTTCCCGGGCCGGCAAAAAGCAAAATGGTTCAGACTTCCAATTTGCTTTTTCCCGGGCCTGGAAAAAGCAAAAAGCTCAGACTTCCAATTTGCTTTTTCCCGGGCCGGGAAAAAGCAAAAGGCTCAGACT